TGTACATCGAGGGCCCACCCTTCAAGGGGTTCTTCATCCAAGGCCGCGACGCACACACTAACGAGTGGATCGGAGAATTCGACAAGAGTGACGACACTGAGAGTCACCCAGAGTGCTCCGCTGTGACACACGGGAACCCGAGACCCAAGTCCCGGGTCATCCTCACCTGGAGAGCTCCACTCGACCGCTCAGGAACTGTTACCTTCACGTACGTACTTACTCAATGTTTACTTACGTACCTACTGCCTCTTTATGTACGTACTTACTGCCTCTTTATGTACGTACTTACTGCCTCTTTACGTACGTACTTACTGCCTCTTTAGGCACGTACTTGCTGCCTCTTTACGTACGTACTTACTGCCTCTTTACGTACGTACTTACTGCCTCTTTACTTACGTACTTTCTGTCTCTTTACGTGCGTACTTACTGCCTCTATACGTACTTACTGCCTCTTTACGTAAGTACGTACTTCCTCTTTATGTACGTACTTACTGCCTCTTTACGTACGTACTGCCTCTTTATGCACGTACTTACTGCCTCTTTACGTACGTACTTACTGCCTCTTTACGTACGTACTTACTGTCTCTTTACGTACGTACTTACTGCCTCCATACGTACTTACTGCCTCTTTATGTACGTACGCACTGCCTCTTTACGTACGTACTGCCTCTACGTACGTATTTACTTCCTCTTTATGTACGTACTTACTGCCTCTTTACGTGCGTACTTACTGCCTCTTTACGTACGTACTGCCTCTTTACGTACGTACTTACTGCCTCTTTACGTACGTTCTGCCTCTTTACGTACATATTGCCTCTTTATGTACGTACTTACTGCCTCTTTATGCACGTTTTTACTTCTTCTTTACGTCCGTACTGCCTCTACGTACTTACTGACTCTATACGTACTTACTGCCTCTTTACGCACGTACGTACTGCCTCTTTACGTACGTACTTAGTGCCTCTTTACGTACGTACTTACTGCCTCTTTATGTACTTGCTGCCTCTTTACGTACGTACTTACTGCCTCTACGTACGTACTTACTGCTTCTTTACGTACGTACTTACTGCCTCTTTACGTACGTGCTTACTGCCTCTTTACGTACGTAATTGCTGCCTCTTTACGTACGTACTGCCTCTTTACGTACATGCTTACTGCCTCTACGTACGTACTTGCTGCCTCTTTACGTACGTACTGTCTCTTTACGTACGTACTTACTGCCTCTTTACGTACGTACTTACTGCCTCTTTACGTACGTACTTACTGCCTCTTTACGTACGTACTTACTGCCTCTTTACGTACGTACTTACTGCTTCTACGTACGTACGTACTGCCTCTTTACATACGTACTTACTGCCTCTTTTTTTTTTACACAGGGTTTGACAAGGTTTAGGATCCCTAGTTTTATTGACAAGCTATTTACAGGTTAAGGATTCCTAACTTTATTGGCAAGCTAAGAGTTGTTACCTACATCAGCTCATTTGAAAGCATTTTTATTGTTATGAGACATACAAGTAGGGAACAGGATGAAGTTGGAGCCATCTGTGGGCCAGCATTTTCATTTGTTTAAAACTGATTTTACTCGTTGACATCTTATGCTGAAACAAAGGGGTTTTCCATTTTCCGAGTCTTCCGGGGGGTATGTTTGATCCAGGGGAGTGATTTTTTTGGGGGAAAGGGGTACACCCCAAGATGAATTTTTGTTTCTTTCTGCCCGTCTTGTGGCAAAAAAGTTTGTTTCCGCTGCCCCTCGAAGGGATCCAAGTTTTGATCCCTTTGCCCAAAAATTGGCCTTTAAATAACAGTAAGGCCACCCACATCCCTCCTGTGTTAAGGGCCCTCTGCTAAAAATAAACGGATCTATCCAGGGGGGTTCCAGGCGAGAGATGAGGTCTGCTTTTCTTTTCTCTGTAAAAGCCCCCGGCAAAATGGGGGGGGGGGGGGGGAAAAGGGGGGGGCCCCAAAAACCCCAAAAAGGGGGAAAAGGCCATACTAAAGGTGTGAGGAAATTTTGTCCCTTTTCGAAAACCGGGAATCTGAAACCCCCCTACTGTCAAGCAGATGCGAGAAGGGGAAAGGTGCTGAAAGGCATTTCCGGGGGCCGGGCCCTTTTTTTTTTCAAGATTTTTAAAACCCATGGAAAATTTCTTGGTTATTTTTTGGGGGGGGGGTTAAAAATTTTTTCCCCCCCAAGGTTATCCCCTTCTTCTCCGGGTTCCCAAAACACCCCCCCATTCATCCTTACTACTGAAACCAGCATTACCTTTTATGGTCCCTAGAATGTCTTTCACTTGCATTTTTCGGGTTTGAAAATTTAAACTTGCCATCTTTTTCCCCCAAGTTTTTTTAATTGCTTTTTCAGTGGTGTTTGGGGTTGGAAGCTTAGAGCAGATGGCTTTTTCTTCTTTTTGGGGGAAAAAGTGAATTTTTCAGTGAAACATTCTCGGGCTTAGCTGGGAGTCTGGGATGGGGAGAAAAAAGGTTTCTTTTGGAAGTGAAATTCCAAAAAACAATGGTCCCAGTACGTTTTCCCTTGTGGAACATTTTCCCCCAAATTTGGGGTTTGTCTTGCTGATTCCGTTCCTTTGGAGAACTACATTTAAAGGGGGATTACCGTGAAGGTAATAAACTGGGGGAACATGCGTAAAAGCCGAAATTTCCCCATGTTTGAAGTTTTGCAAAGAGGCCCTGGTGCCACACCCGGTGGGGAAAGCCCCCCCCCAAAATGGTCCAGTGAAACCCCACACAGCGGGGGGATTTTTGGGGTTTTCACCCGTACTGGTGCCACTTGTGGAGGGGTTTTTTAAAAAAAACCAGATAGCAGCGGGGAGTAATTTTTTTCCTAAACCCCCAAAATTGCGGTCACAAAGTTTAGTGAGGGGGTGTAAAAAAAACTCGTCTTTTGTTTTTTAAAATTTTTTTGGTTCTCAAGGACCCTTTACCATTGTTTGACAGGAGTGAAAAACCGGGTCTTTAGTTGCTAAATTTCTGCTCTGCTCTTTTTTTTTTTAGGGGGAACAGGGGTACTTTTGGGCCCTCTTTCCTTTGAGGGGGCCATTTCCCACTTTTTATTTGGGGCCCAGGGGGCTGAAAAATGGGGTTTTTAGGGGGTGCTGCTAGCTGGTTGCACACCCTTCTCGCAATTTTGGGGGTTCAACTTTTTCGGGGGCCCCCCCCATTTTTTTTCCTTTGGTAAAGGGGCGTTTTTAAAAAGGAAATGCCCCCCTTTCCCCCCTCCCTTTATTTTTCACCACTGCCCGTTTTGAAAACAGTTTTTTGCAGCTACCCAAAGGGGGCCCCCCTTGTTTTGGTTTCGGGGGAACTTCCCAATTTTGGGGTGGGCCAAAGTTTTTCAGGAAAGGGGTTTCCCCCTTTTTCCTCTTGAACTAGTAAGGGGGGTTCCCATCCTTTTCAAATTTTTTAGGGGGGGGGAATGATTTCACAGGCGGAAAACCCCTTTGCCGGGGGGGCCCCACCCGGGTTTTTGGGGGCCCCCAAACCCCTCCCTTTGGATGTTTCTTTCTTTTTTAGTGTCCAACCCCATTTGGGGGCAGGGGGGCCCCCCCTTTTTGGAAAATCCCCCCATATCCTCCCGGGTTTGCCTGTGAAAGTTCCTGTTATAGGGGGTAGGTTGTCTTTTAAAATACTTTTCGCCATGCTTTGAAACTTAGAAAAACAGCCTTTTCCTAAAACCCCAAAAAGGGGCCAAACCAAGGTGATTTTGGTGGGGCCCTTTGGGGTAACATATTCCCGGGGTGAGGAAGGGTTTCTTGTTGTAGATTAAGGATGTCCCCCAGGGGAAGGTTTTCATTTTGGTTTTTAAACATCCCCTTGGAGAAGAGCATTCCAATCGGTGGGGCGAGTTTCAGAGCAAAGGGCGGGCCAATTACCCCTTTCTATAAACCAGGTTGTGCTTGTGGCCCTTCCTCACCTCTTTTCTTTGGGATTTTAAGGGGTCGAAAAAACCCAACCTTGTGGTCAACGACCCAAACGTACCCGGGGGGTTGAAAAAGTGACTTCCCTTTCAGCCAGATCACTCACTACTGGGTCAAGGGAGGAGCCAAAAGATATGAGTAGGGAAATCAAAAAAGTTTTCATGTCAAACACTTTCAAGAAGGTCATCAAAGTCCCCTGTAAAGGTGGGTTTGGGTTTAAGGGGCACCCAAAAATTATAATATGTTGGGCAATTTGTGTTGTAGCAGAAAAGGGGGCAATATTTTTTCCCTTAGGGAAATTATGGGTCTGCATGCTCCCACTGAGGTCTGTACATTGCACATGCTAGTACAGAGGGGCTTGTGTTTATGCATAGCTTTTAAGAAAAATTTATTTCAAAAAATGTGTAAAAAGGGGGGCAACATCAATGTGCGGGCATGAACACTTTTAAGAAGCACATAGAAACCCCCTCCTTGCCCCCTTTCCTTTTTCCTTTTTCCCTCCTGAGGTGTACCGCAATTTTTTGCAAAATTTTCTGGAGTCCCCGTCAAACCAAAAAATTTTTTTCAACCCGCAGCTATCACGTCGGGAGTCGAGTTGGGTTTACAAAACTATTGTTAGCTCTCCAAAATTAGTAAAAGAAACCTCTAATGTTGGCCGAAGGATGCTGATAGACTGGCCTCATGATGATTGGGGGTCAGCCTTTTTAGGTGGGTGTGTGTGTTTTAGGGATGTAAGGTGCCTGCCCTTTAGAGAGGTAGGGTACTGAGACAGGGTGCAGGGATGTAGGTTCCCGTGGTTTTTGGGATAAAGGGACAATACCACCCGCTGGGCTGGATAGGAGTAGCTGAGTGGGTGACGTGTGAGAGTGTTCACTAATTCAGAGATCCTGCTGGTTTGTTCTGAGAACAGGTCTCTAAACAGGTGGCCCTGTCTGTCAAGTTCCTTTTTCTTCCGACACTGGTCCTCCTGATGTCCTTTCTTGTAGCAGTAATTGCACCTGGTATCTCGCAGGCAGTTGTTGGCGGTGTGCCCCTTCCGGTGACAGCGAGAGCACAGTCTGGGTGCCTGGGTGCCTGGGAGGGTGGACTAGGATTTGTTACACCTCCTGTGTTTTGCAGATTTGTCCTCTTTACATACGTACTTACTGCCTCTTTATGTATGTACTTACTGGCTCTTTACGTACGTACTTACTGTCTCTTTACGTACGTACTTACTGTCTCTTTACGTACGTAATTAATGCCTCTTTACGTACGTACTTACTGTCTCTTTACG